CCCTCCCCTGCTCACTCTGTCTCTCTCAAAATGAATAAATAAAAAAACTTAAAAAAATTAAAAAAAAATTTTTTTATTGAAAAAGATAAAAAAACATAAAAATAAAAATAAAAAACGTCAACTCCACCAGTACCGGGAGACAGCCGAGCTTCCCAAAGAAGACTGACAGGTTACAACTTAAGGTTGCTTTATAAAGGAGGGCCTGCATGGGACCAAGAGGTTCCAGAGAACAAGCTCAGCTCCACTGGGTCCCAAGCAGACGCCTGCCCCGGCCACCGGCCTGGACGTCCCAAGTCCCCCCCTCGTAGGACATGGCCCAAAGCTCCACCCACGCTCCCCACCCAGTGGCAGTCCCTGCGCCTCCTTCACCGAGACCCCACCCGTCTCCTGACACACCTGGTTTGCACGCCAGCCCCGGGCCCTGCGGGGCACTCGCCAGCGGACTGCTGTCCCCAGCGTGAGCAGCCCGCGGGACCGACCAGAGGCTCTATGAGGAGCCACACATCTCAGCTCTCTACCCTCACCTTTCCTCTGGAGAAACACCACAGGCCCACAGAAGCCCCAGGGCAGGGAAGTCAGAGCCGCTCCCGCTTCGGGGAAGCCGCGAGATTAATGGCACACGGGCGCCAGTGAGGACACTGGGGGACCACACCGGACACCAGGCAAGTTTTGGTCCGCAGGGTGATGGCTCACATGGTGACCAGACCGCCATCTGCGAGCAGGAACGTTGGAGGCAAGAGTCGGCCGGAGCCAAGGAAGGAGCAGGAACACGGCCACATGACGGTGCCGGGAGCCCCAGGTGGGCCGGGCACTGGGAAAGGGCAAAGGTGCCGCCCAAGTCCCCCCAGGCAGCCATGACAAGTACGTGCTGACCACAGGCCCACGAGCACAGCCTGGAGCTCTACGAGGCCCAGGGCTCCCGGGGCCTTTGGAGGCTGGATACGGAATGTGCAAACAGGAATGATGGCGGGTGCTCTAAAGTCCCGGATAAGGGGCCCTGCTCCTGGAGGAAGGAGCCGAGCTCTGTGCCATCCGGGCCAGGAGCGGAGAGACAGGGAGCAGTGGTGTAGGGGTGCACGGCCTAAGATGGGAGTAGGGAGTTCCAGTCCCTGGAGCTCAGCCTCAGCCTCAGCCTCAGCCCGGAAGCCCCAAGCCCAGCCCCTTCTGGGTCTAGCCCTGTGTGCGTCCAACAGGATAAGGCTCACGAGTGTGCCCAGTGGGCCAGCCTTCTGACTTCACAGTCCCCCTGCCGGACCACCAGGAGGAGACAGACACAATACATTCTGAGGGCTTGGGGCGCCTGGGTGGCTCAGTTGGTTAAGCGTCTGACTTCAGCTCAGGTCTGATCTCACTGTTTGTGAGTTCGAGCCCCGCATCCGGCTCTGTGCTGACAGCTCAGAGACTGGAGCCTGCTTTGGATTCTGTGCCTCCCTCTCTCTCTGCCCCTCCCCAACTCGCACTCTGTCTCTCCCTTTCAAAAATAAACATTAAAGAAAAATTAAAAAAAAAAAAAAAAAAAAAAAAAAAAAAAAAAAAAAGACATTCTGAGGGCTTGGCCCAGGCTTGGCAACACCAGGGGCTTGGCCTGGGGGCCACACGTGACATGATGTCCCGGAGCACCCCTCAAGCCGTGACCTGTAACCTCCAGATCTGCTGAGGTCCCGGACTCAGAGAGAAAGGCACCCAGGGGCACGGAAAAGGTTCCCTTTTGCTTCGCACACGGAAGCCTATGTGAACAACACACAGGCTCAAATTCTGCACCTCAACGATGAACACACACCTGGAGATGGGCTCGGGCCAGCCTGCGGCCACACGCCCTGGTTCTGGTCTCCGGGTCAGCACGGCCAGTGTCTGACGGGCACTCCGGCCCCAGCCCACAGATCCCAGCCGGAGGGTCTCCGGCGTCAGGCTCCGGTCGAGGTCAGCAGGCAACGTGGGGTGACTCACTGGAATCCAAGACTCGGTGTGCATTCACTCACTCGCGCCCTTCCAGGAGCACAGAGCCAACCTTCCGGCCCTGCCTGGGTCAGCTGCTGCCCGCTGGGCGCCCGGAGAACGGCTGCACCGGTGAGCTGCACAGGCCATGCCCTGGGCGCCCGCAGAACCTCTGCTCTCTTCCGGGGGCCCCTCCCATGGCTCCTGAGCCCCCTGCTGGCTTCCAGGACGCAGCGCGCCAATTCCAGAACCCTCTACCTAGGTCAGGACAGGACAGACACTCTAATGTAGTCTCTGATTCTCAAGATAAAGAATGAATGCACTATGGCAGATAATGTTCCTTTTCGGTTCACTAAGGGCTCATGGTGTTTGCACAGTCCTTGCTCCTTCTTCCAGAATGTTTCTCAGGACACTCCTTCTTTTGGGACTTTCTGCAGCCCCGCCCCGACACACCCATCACCCACGCACCCCCAGTCCAGCTCCTGTCCAGGCCGGTGTCCAGGGACAAGCACTGTTGTGTCAAAGAGCACTCAGGTGGGCTGGGGAGAGCGGACCCTGGGCCTGATGCCCAGTCTGTGCCTTTGACAGGAGCAGCACCTGGAGCTCCTGGGACAGAAAGGAGGCGGGAGCCAAGCGGGTGCCCCCAGGGCCCCAGGTCTATGCGCACCGACCTCCAGCCACATTTCCAAGTGTGTCCCTTGGGAGATGTTCTCCTCAACATGTGAAAGCTACATGTTCGGAAATAGAACGCAAACAAAAGCAGCAGCAGGTGAAAGGTAGGCCACGGTCAGATGGTCCACTCCAGAACTGACTTGTGATACAACTCATCAGGGCACTAAGTCAGAGAGAGAAACTTAACCACCTTCTCCACAAATGGTTAATACAATTCAATGTGCTCTCTAGATTTAAAAAACCATACCCTCCCCTACTTGCTGGCTCTCTCTCTCTCTCAAAAATAAATAAATAAACATTAAAAAACAATTTCCAATGGTTTTTTTTTTTGTTTTTTTTTATTTATTTTTGGGACAGAGAGAGACAGAGCATGAACGGGGGAGGGGCAGAGAGAGAGGGAGACACAGAATCGGAAACAGGCTCCAGGCTCTGAGCCATCAGCCCAGAGCCCGACGCGGGGCTCGAACTCCCGGACCGCGAGATCGTGACCTGGCTGAAGTCGGACGCTTAACCGACTGCGCCACCCAGGCGCCCCT